TCTTTTGGGTATACAGTGAACCCTTGCCACTTCGCGCTTCGACTTCCGCGGCTTCACTCTATCGCGGTTTTTGCATAACAGCACATGCTCTGTCATTACTGCCACTGATTGGCTCATACTGTACACGCTTCTGTCTGCATCGCTACATATCGGAGCTACATATCAGATGCATTTTTGCTTTTGTACAGTGTACTGTAATTGTTTGCGATTTTTAAGAAATTTTATCTAAGCCCTATGATGGCTCCTAAACGAGCTGCTTCTTCTAAGCCTTCTGACAATAAAAATAAGCGCCAGAGGAAGATGCTCACCATCCAGAAAAAGGTAAAACTTTTGGATATGATCAAAGATGGCAAGAAAATCGTGGAGGTTGCACGCCATTTCGACTTGAATGAGTCTTCCGTTTGCTCCATCCGTAAAGAAGAAAAAGACATCCGTGCTACGGCTACTTTCACTTTCAACAAGGAAGCAAAGCGCATCGTGACAAGTCGTAATAAGTTCATAGTAAAAATGGAGTCTGTCCTAGCCGTTTGGATCAATGACAGGCGCAAGAAAAACATTCCGTTGGATTCGATAGTCATCCGGGAGAAGGCAAGGCAGCTCTATCAGCGTTTTACAGCAGACAAACCTCAACCAGAATCCTCTTCTGCATACTGTAAACTAGATGCCATAAATAATATAATAAATAATAAATGATCATTGTAACGTCCAAAATGTTTTACTGTATTTTCCCTTTTTCGTTTAATAAATTGGGTAATACGAGTGTAATGGTGACTAAAGGGTGCTTTTTCATGTCCTCTATGCTCTAACTACGAAAATATTTGATTTACAAATAAGGAATCCTACTTCGCGGAATTTCATTTATCACGGTAGGGTCTAGAACCGATTAACTGCGATAAACGAGGGTTCACTGTATATACCTAGGAGGGGAATCTCTGGGTCATATGGTAGTTCTAGTTTTAGCTTTGTTTAGGAATACCACACTGTTTTCCAAAATAGCTGTACCATTTTCCATTCCTATCAGCAATGAGTAAGTGCTCCAATATCCCCTTAATCACACCAACATTTATAATTAAAAAAATTGTTATACTCTCGCCATCCCAATAGAAGTGAAATGAGGTCTCCTTGTGGTTTTGATTTGCATCCCTCTGATGGCTAATCATGTATCATTTCATGTGATTGGTGGTCATTTGAATGTCCTCTTTGGGGAAATCACTATTTGAGCCTTTTGCCAGATACTTTCTTTTATGGCAGCATAGAGTTCAGCCACTTGTCTAATCAACTGGTGAATTAATGAATGGCTGTCCCAGAAATAAGAGAGATTAAAGAGCTACAAAAAGGAAACATTTTGTGAGGAAACAGAATCACCAAGGCCTCAGCCAATGAGGCAGGTAGAGCCATTTAGAGAGGATTGTGGAGCTTCTAGAGCGTTTTGTTATCATAACGTTAATATGAACATATTAGCAAAAGCATAAGAGTAAGGAAGTGGATGCCCAGTTTCTCCATCATGAATCAACAAGGGAAACACTTGGGGAACAGATGAAAAGTGAGCTGTCGTGGAACTCAGCCAAGCTCCTTCCTTCCTCTGGCCTTTTGTGTCGTGCCAATCCCCACACCTAGAAGGTCCTTCCACCCCTCTTCTGCCAAAGTCATGTGCAGTCTCAGATCCAGCACAAGTCCGTGTTTCCATGACTACTCTACCACCCAACCCCCTTCACCACCCTTGAACTCCTACAGCACATCTGCTATGTTCCACAAGCTTTTCACGAGATTAGGCATATTGTCTTTGGGAGGTGCTTGTGTGGGCATCTAATAAAAAACCTGGTGAATGCCTCAAGGACAAGGGCCATTTCTTCTCCTACTGTTGCTGCATTTCCCACAATACTGACGGCCTAATAGACCCTCTGTACAGTCTTGCTGACTGCTGGGCGGAAAGGTTTAGTTCGGCTCTCTTGTTCTTGCCAGCAATGCAGAGTGCACAATAAAGTCCTTTCACCAGTAAATGACACACTCAAAGACTGAGGGGCCAAGTACTTGTATAGAATTATTCATCATTTCTAACACCTCATGGCAGTCAGATGTCAGAATCCTTAAGTTGCATAGATGTGAAATTAACTATGATGTATGTGATAATGCTTATTGGATTCGTGGTTTATTCATAACTATCATAGATTATATAAGGAAATCTAAAATTTTCTGTTACATAGTTGATGGATAGGCTCTAAACCACCTCCCAGCCGTGACCACCCCCAGCCTGGGTTTCATAGGCATTAAAAGTACATTGGTAGATACTGCTTTTTATATTTCTAACAATAATAGTGCCACCTGAAGAAGGGACATGATTATGGAGCAAAATAGGAGAGAGGATTCACACCACCATTATTTTAATCTTTGAATAGCTTTTTAGGGCTAGACAGAGCAAAAAGAATTGAGAAAAGAAAAAACAGCCTAATTTCACACTGCGTTGTACTAGGTGGCTCCTTTTCCATGGCAGTTTTTTGGGCATTAGATGCTTTCATGATAGAATCCTATCTTTTGATAGATGCAGTTTTCAGCAGCTGTTCCATGATACTCCAATCTTCATAAGCATGCAGTACCTTGAGACTCATGACCTTTGTGACTGTGTGACAGGACAAGGGTCTCCAAGTGTTTGCATCCACTCACGAGGTCTGAGTTGGAAATGACCGGGTTGGCTGGCTTGGTTTCTTTTAGTAATGGTCCAGGGAGATAGGTTCCCCATTGCCCTGCTCAAGAACCTGCTCAACCAAGACTCAAAACCTCACCGCCCTGGAGGCCATTTGAACTCCAGGTGACCCTATTAGACAGAGTAGCATAAGTCCTGCGAGTTTCCAAGACTGCAAATCTTTACAGGAGTAGAAAGCCTCCTTTTTCTCCTTCAGGAAGGCTGGTGGTCTCAAACTGTTGGATACCAGCCCAACACATCTCCCACTATGCAACACAGCTTTCTAGAATAAGACCAGATTTGTATTTCAAACAAAAACATCATCAGAAAAAAAGTTTTTTTTCCCCTAGACACTTGGGATTCTAGTTTGGGTTCTTTGTGTAGCTCATACAAGACGCTGGGTCTAACACAAAAGGATATATATTGTGTGATTGTATGTAAATAAAACATCTAGAGGTTCCCGGCTATTAAAAGATAGAGTGTCTGGGGTCTTAAAGGTTTCAAGTTACCATCTAGCAGGGAAGCAACAAAGCCCACATGGAAGAAGCACACCAGCCTGTGGGATCATGAGGTATTGATGGGATCAGGTATTAGGTATCAGAAGACCCACAGGAAACAATCACATCGATGCAAACCAGGGAGGTCAGAGTGGAGACCCAAAGTCCATCTGTAGACAATAGGACATCCCCTCATACAAGGGTCACGAGGAAGGGATGAGCCAGTCAGGGTGCAGTATGGCACCAATGAAATACACAACATTCTTCTAGTTCTTTAATGCTTCCCCCAAGCCACCCCCCACTGCCCCCATTATTATGAACCCAGTTATACCTTACAAACATGGCTAGACCAGAGCATGTACACTGGTATAGATAAGAGCCCTTGACACATGAAATCCAGGACAGATAAACCCTTCAGGACCAATAATGGGAGTAGTGATACCATGAGGGTAGGTGGTGGGTGGGGGCAAAGGGGAGAAAGGGGGAACCAATCACAATGATCAATGAAAAAACCCCCCACCCCCATGGGGACAAAAACCAGAAAGGTGGGTAAGGGGAGACAGCGAATAGTGTAAGATATGAAAATAATAATTTATCAAAGGTTCAAAATTATAATTTTGTCATGTCTTACACTGTCTGATGTCTTCATTCACCCCTTTTGTTGCCCATCCCCCAGGGAGGGGGTTATATGTAGAGCCTTGTAATCAGTTCCCCCTTTCTATCCCACCTTCCCTCCACCCTCCCAGTATACTCTCAATACTGGTCCTGAAGGGATCATGTGTCCTGGATTCCCTGTGTTTTCGGTTCCTTTCTGTACCAGTGTAGATCCTCTGGTCTAGTCGGATTTGTAAGGCAGAATTGGGATCATGATAGTGCGGGGGAGGAAGCACTTAAGAACTAGAGGAAAGTTGTAGGTTTCATTGTTGCTGCACTGCACCCTGACTGGCTTGTCTCCTCCCTGCGACCCTTCTGTAAGGCAATGTCCAGTTGCCTACAGATGGGCTTTGGGTACCCACTCTGCACTCCCCCTCATTCACAATCATATGATTTTTTTGTTCTTTGATGCCTGATACCCGATCCCATTGACACCTTGTGGTCACACAAGCTGGTGTGCTTTTTCCATATGGGCTTTGTTGCTTCTCAGCTAGATGGCTGCTTGTTTACCTTCAAGCCTGTAAGACCCCAGATGCTATATATTTTGATA